TACATGATCGTTAGTCCATTTAGTTTTGTATATATTGGAGGGAATAATTCAGGTTCATAACTTGTATCTTTTTTACAATATAATTGTTTCAGTTTTTCAGTATTGAACCTTACTGAATTATAACTTGATGCTGTTATATTAGATATTCTGATAAAGATTATTTCACGATCAGGGAACGTTTCCATCAATGTTAGAATTGTCATGGGTAGACTTTTGAATCCAGTTGCTGTAATTTTTCCTGATGCAAAAACCAGCAGCACACCATTATCAGTTCGTATAACTTGAGCATTGAATTTTTTCTTTCGGTTTGTATTATCGACTTTGATATCTATTGGTCCTATTGACCATATTGAAACTATATTATCGATCCGATAATCAGGCCAGATTGATTTGGTCATATTTGATATTATCAAAAAATATTGCACGGAATATTAGTAGTAAAATGACTGTTATAATTATGAAAATGATGATTCGTAAAATCATGTTATGTTTCATCGTATCGAATGAGCTGCCTACCGTCAGCTCATCCTCTTTTATACTTTTTTTACAAAAATTTGAATTTCCCTCCAAAAGTTTGGTCCAGTATGGACACTTTGTGCTAGTATGGACACTTTATAGAGTAGAAGTTCACTGAATGTCAACCCAGAGTTAAGTAAATGTTGATTTAAAAATTTGAATTTCCCGCTAAAAAATTGACCTGAAATAAGGTCATCGAAAGTTGGTATTAGTTCCAGAATCTTTTGAATTTATTTGAATTTCCCGCTAAAAATTGACCTGAAATAAGGTCACCGAATGTTGGTATTATTTGCAGAAAAATGTTTGAATTTCCCGCTAAAAGTTTGGTCCAGTATGGACACTTCTGTGCCAGTATGGACACTTGTGCTAGAAACCCTGTGTTAGTATGGACACTTTGTGCTAGTATGGACACTTGTGTCAGAACCGGTCTTTGTCTAACTACTATTTTTATCCACAATCATATTATCCTTACCTACATTTTGAACATGGTTAATGTTATATATACTTTTATCTCCATTCTCATCTTCATCAACACAGAATATCTTCCGTTATCATCCAATCTCTCTCTCTCTCTCTCTCTCTTTCTTTGTGATTCTCTTGTGGTTATTTACTAGTGGTTATCTTTGAATTGAACCTAAGTCAATAAGAGAAAACTATTCAGCTTGAAATTATTTGACAATGTGAATGTGATTCTTGTTGTTTTCCATTGATAAAAACATTTCCAATTCTATTTTATTTTCTGTTGTAAACTACATGTTGTATTTGTTGCTCTCAATCAACTAATTTTGGTTGCTCTTTATAACACTTTTGTTATTACCTTTACTTTTTTTTTCCTTGGTAATTGTTGTTTACCAAACCTTAATATTCAGCTTTCTATCTTTACAATTTGCATACCCTCTTGAGTCTCATGTATGATTTGGAAAACAACAACAAATCAACAACATTTAAAAGTGACAATCAAACATTTCCTTGCCCAGAAAATTAACTTAATTACCTTTTTATTTTCATCCATCCCCATACATACAGTACATTTATTATTAAGAATAATAATTGGATAAATGTAATATTTTCCATTTCGTTTTTCCTTATGGTCAATAAGGTCAAACCCAATTCATTTTATTCACTGACCTTTCCTAATAGCCTCTAACCAGAATAGTTAACGTTGGTATCACAAAGTTGATTATAATTTAATTTGTTTGTTACAATCAAATCACAGTTTACCATTTATGCTAATCACAAAATCAAATGTAAATTTGCTTCATCTCTCTCTCTCTCTCTCTCTTTATCCATTTAAAAGGTTAATTGTTAATTTATATTTTTCCAATCACGGTAATTAGCCTAAAAAAATCAATCAAATCTGAAACCTTATCAACTTGATTGTTGATTCTTATGAGAGGTTAATTTAAATAGTGAAAGTTTAAACAACTGATAAGGTGAATTGATGTTGATGCAGATGATTGAGAAGCCTTAGAGACAGAAGACAAAGGTAAAGGTAAAGAAGATGACAGATGATAAACGAGAGAGAGACAGAGACAGAAAGGTGAAGATGAAGATGAAGATAATGATGAGCAATCACTTGATAGTAATTATATAAAGCAAATGAAAGCGACGACTGGTTAGCTTAATGTTAAGCAAACCATGACCAGAAAATGCTTGTTAAACCCGAAAAACAATGATATAAGGTAACCATTCATACGTAATTTAGATAATTACAATCAATTAATCGTAATCAACTAATCATTGAGAAAAAGAGACAAGAAAATTGTTGCTGGTGTTAATGATAAAACAAAAGGTTTAACTTTTTTTCTACATTGAATCCAATGATAATTGAGATAAATGCAATTGTTTTCTTATGTTGATATTATTACTTTTTTTTTCTTGTAAAACTTTGTAACCCAAAAAGATTGAGATAAATTAACTTTTTTTTTCTGTTTTCATTGGAAACTTTTTGCTTTTCATTATTATTACTGCAACATTTAATTGCAATTAACTGTTCAATTGAGCAAGAAAAATGTACACATTCACTGCCAAGTTAATCTGTATATTTAAATAGCAAATTATTTAAATCATCACAACCATGAAAACAAACTGCAACCATCACAAATATACATCAACATTTGCAATAGTTTATGGGCTCATGTCAGTTTATTTTAAGGTAAACATTTTGCTGCGAGAATCATGAATAAAAACAACAGAAAATGATAGTAAACGTTTTCGTGTTCAACATTTTCTAGTGATGAGTTTACTATATTTTTTTTCTTGCTTTCTTATTACAAACTGTCAACTTTAATTTTGTTACAAGATAAGAAGATGGTGATGAGGATGAGGATGAAGATGATGATTTGAATGATGATGAGGATGATTAAGATGAGGGTTGAGATGTTTGGGTGTTAATTCTTGGAGAGAGAGAGGTGAAGTAGTCAACCGGAATTAAGGATAAAATTGTAGTTCGTTCAACAGTTTTTGCAGAATTTGCAATTTCCAAGTTAAAAGAAGAAGATGACAAGATGATGATGATGATGATGAAAGAAACACTGAAGATATAACATGATGATGATGATTATCAACAGTAACAAACAACATCCCTTAAGATTTTTGGGCTCAAGGCCAAGGATTTAAAGTCGTTTGTCGTGGTCGTCGTTTTCTTAATCGTTTTACTATTATTATTATTATTATCTACACTGTCGGTATATAAAATGGAGACAAGATTATGATGATCAAGGATAAGGTTGAAAAAGGAACCGGAATCTTAATCTCTATTTACCATTGTAGCTTCTCGTCGATAATTTTAGCTTTCATCTCCTCTTGGCCTCTTTATCCTCCCATTTCTCTCTCTCTCTCGTTCTCACTACGTCTCACTCACTCTCTATCTTACTAATCTCTGCATCTTTTTGTCCTCCTTCACCTTTTTCACTTAGATACTTGTATCGACCATAAAAACTCAATGTAGATTCAGTGTCAACCCAAATAGATATGGTAGTTTAGTTTTATCTTGGCAACTTAAAGGTAAAAAGAAAACAACTTATTCAGATCTCGGTCATTGACAAGGTTCATTGTGATTGTTTACTGTTGACATTAAATCAAACTAAATAGAAATCAACATAATTATACAATAATCGTAATCATCATTATCATCATTAACACAATCAAAAGGTAATCATGATAATATAATGTTCACCCAACAAAAAGCAGGTAAAAATATCACAATAATAATGAAAACCTGGTTAACTTTTTTTTTGTTTTCATACAAAATTTCATCATTTTTTTTTTCATCTTCTATTAGTGTTGATGGTTTTTTCATCATCATCATCGTCATCATCTGTTGATTAACAATGAACTTGAATAAACAGATGATGATAAGATAACATCACCTTGATAATAATACGCGGAAGTTGATCTCGTTGCTATGTTATTACTTTGTAAAGAGTAAAGTGGATAAATTATCATCATGATGACGATGATCAACAAAAGATGAGAGAGAGCGAGAGGGAGAGAAATTAAACAAATAATAAAAAGATGATGATGATTTATGGTGATAATTTGAAATGATAAAAAAGGAAGATGATTATTATGCTGTAAACAAGTAAAATTAGTCAAACAATTTAAGAGAATCAAAAACAAAAAAAAAGTAACCATGATAATCATTTGTCCATTAGAAAGATATATTTATATTTCTAGCCTCAGGGTGATTACAGAAAGATGGAAGAAAAGAAGAAGACAAAAGCAGATGATAAAGGATGAGAAAATAAAAGACAAAAGGATGTACCAAGTCACTAGGTAACTGTCATCTTTGGCCTTATCTTCATCATCTCATCTTTATCTTCCTCATCATCTACAACAACAACAACATCATCATCATCATCATCATCTTTTAAGATGGAGAATAGAAAAAAAAATTGTTCTTTTCCTTTGTTTACCTTGAAAAATTTTCTACCTTTTTCTCTCTTTGTGTAACAATTGTAAACTTTTTATTCTCTAAATTGCTAATCATTAAAATGATGATGATGATGATTAACATAATTCCTTGTTCATCCTGTATTACGTTAAGTTAAATCATCTTCTTAATTGCAATGAAAGAAAAAAAGTTTTCAACAATAAACGATAATGATGTTGATGATGATGATGGAAACCTTAACATTCACAATCAAAGTCAATCAAAACTTTTCTCCTGACAATCAATTCGCATGATTAGTTTACAAATAATACAATTCAACTCATACAATTGATCATGAAAGTTAATCATTATCATTATAATAATAATAATCATCATCATCATCATCATCCATACATGTAAAGTCTAATCGTTAATAATTATTATTTAGACAATTAACTATTAACAATGTAATTAAAGTTTCTCTTTAATATTAAAGTTTAAACAATACTTTTAATCCAAGACATTTGAAAGTTAATCAATTAAATGACGACATTCAATTAACATTGTCGTTGATTGTTAATCATTGAATCATTTACAATGAAGAAAAATATATAAATTGTTATAATCATTTTAATTGTTGTTTGATGATTAAGAAAAAAAAACGAAAAATAGTTGTACAAATGTCAGCAAAGTGAATGAGAGAAAGAGAGAGAAATTAGTTAATCATAATTAAAGTTTTTCTTTTTAGAAAAAAAAAGTTCTTTTTGTTTAGAATATAAGATTTTAATCAAATAAATTAGAAAAAAAAAGTTCGATAAAAATTAAGTTCGATGTTCGAATTGTTGATTTGATTGTTCATAGGCAGGCAGCACCACACTCGAAGAAATTTTCTCGAAATTGGATCGTTGAATTTAACACTTCCATCCATAAAATGTTGATCTGATTGAAGATATTGGTTGGAAATGGAGGAATGGAACAAGAATCAATAACAAGATAATTAATTCTATGGCGTTTAAATGCTTTCATACTCTCCATTAATTGTTTCCTTGAATATATATGTTTACAAAAGACAACTGTCTCAATAATATCGGGATGAGGTTCACTATTAACATTTATTTCATCACCGGTTACACCCTGATGATTAGATGAGGATGACGATGAACTTTCATTGGTTTCATTGGTTAAAGCAAGAGATTCATTCTCATTGAATTCACTTTCTAAACCTTTCTCAATTTCAACACAATCACAAGGTTTAATTAAATGTGAGGGTGGACAACGGACACTGTAACTGATTAAACCTCCACCGGCACTATTAACATTTCCACCTCCAGGTTCAGTTTCACCGTTTTCACTTAAACCTCCGCCGATACTTATATCACCGGTTAGTTGGTCAATTGATTTACCACCACCACCATTGGAACCAAGTGAAGCTGAAGCGGCATTAATTGCTGAAAAGGTTGAAACAATTAAACAATACCAAAAAAGTGTACACATTAGTTTACTAGGAATAACCATTATTAACATGATAATTGTTGATAAATTGGTCGACATGCTTTTATAATTACTTTTTATAATTTACTAATATCAAATTGTTAACTTGTTGTTGTTGTTGTTGTTGGAAGTACCAACTAAGTACAAAAAAAAGTTTGTTTTTTTTTCTCTCAAAAATCGATTTGTTTTTATTTATTTTTTTTCTCATTTCCTTCCTCCGATTAATCGTTTACTCTTTTTTGAGAGAAAATCGATATTTTCGATTTTCTTTCGGTTAGTTAATCGATTTTCGCCGATTTTTCGGTTTTTGTTTACATTTTTTTTTCTGTTCTTCCTTTTTATTTTTCCATAATAATTGATGTTCTTAATTTTTACTTTGGTTATTATTTATTCTTATTCTAATTACCATGGATATAATTAATGAAATATTCTCATCTAATAAGGTTCTCTATGAGTGTTCATGTGGCCATTGTAAACCATTGACTCATATTTACTTTTGTCGTTACTGTTTAAAGATAAGGTGTAAAGATTGTGTCTCTCATGAGGTTTGTATGGTTTTAATTATTTTTCTCTTTTTTTGATTGTTACAATTGTTTCTAATTGTGACAATCAAATCATCTTGTCAATCTTCATTCTAATCATTTGATTAATTTTATTCTTTTCTCTTCCAATGACAATTTTCACATCTCAAATGAACCTTTTCTTTTATTTTTTTTAGGTTGACTCCCAATATTGTCAACATTGTTTAGAATATATTCCAACGGTTGATGCTAAATTAAAGAAAAACAAGTAAGCTAATTAATCTCATTCGACTGATTAAATCTTTTCTTCATATTCTTTTACTTTGTAACAACAGTTCTCATTTCCCTGTCCATCCTCCTCCCTGAAAGAGAGAGAGAGAGAGAGAGAAAGAGTGAGAGACCTCAATCATTATGACTCATCTATTATTGGCTATTACTATTTTTTTGTTGTTTCTATTGGATTAACATATCTGTTAGTCTATTGATTTTACTATTTCAAAGCTTCCTGTTGTTAATTAATTTCAATTTTATGTACTCTATTGATACAATTAACTTTATTGTATAAATATAGTATATGATGTATATTGTCTGTCCTCCTTTTCTTTCAAAATTTGTAATCGTTTTCGTTATGTCAATTAACCCATTAGATGTGCATCATGCTTCCAATGTCCCGTTTGTATGCATACATTTACTCCGAGGACATTTTTAGCCTCAGTTCCCAGCGAAACCGATCCAAACGGGATGACCACCAGGAAAGCTCAGGTTCTACTTTGCTCTTATTGTAAATGGAGTTCAAAAGATGTTGGGATTCCTGATCAATTAGTAGGTTTGTATTACTCACCAGAACGATGATTTTCCAATAATGATTGACATCCGTATCTAATTTAATCATTTCTCTTTTATTCTTCTCCTTTATTGTTGATTCATTCAATTCTCTCTCTCTCTCCTATTTATCTTAAAGGTTCTGGTGGTTGGCCTGAAGTTGAAGTTCCAAATAAGAAACGTATCGAAGGTCTTGTTGAACATTATCGAGTAATCGCTCAAAGAGAAAGAATGGAAAAGGAAAAGAAACGAATTAATCCAAGACCAGGTCATGCTATTCATCTATTAGATAAATATGGAATATCGGCTTCCCTTTCAGCCAAATTAACCGAAAGCTTACGAACTAAAGCGGGTAGAACAAGTTCTAACTATATGCCAACGTCTAAATCTTTAACTGACATTAAATTGGAACCATCAATAGCAACCGATCAATTGGAACCACTTAAAATTGAAGATTATTACAATAGAGATTTAAATGAGATGGAGATTAGTACAATCGAGCAAAGATTAATGCAAATAGAAATTCAACCTGGACCCGTTGAGAAGTTTTATCCAATAAGTAAAATGCTCTATGTTAAAAGATCACTTCGATGTAAAGAATGTGATCACAATCTAATCAAACCAGAATATAATTCATCTTCAATTAAATTTAAAATTCAATTGTCCGCCTAGTAAGTACATTAACCCATCTTCATGCTCAATCAGTTAAATCTGATTATCTTAATCATAACCTAGAAAAGGCAAAAAAAAAAGAAAGTTAATTGTTTTGTTTTGTTTCTCTCTTTTCTCTCATCTTCTTGACAGTTATGATATTCCTGAAGTTAAGATTGCATCTAAACCAAAGTTATACCCATTTTCCGAATCAACGGTTGAATTAACCTTCAAGAATCCTTACCAATACGGGATGAATATTTCACTTCATCCTCTTAATGAAGATGAGATGAATGAAACTATCACAGGGAAAGTGATCCTCCCAAAATCAGAGTTTATCCTGGAATGTAAAGATGATACACTTGAATTAGAATTGGACTCTACTCAGAAAAATCGTTACAATGATGATCCTCAGTAAGTGCATTCAACTTTACTGATTATCTACTCTCATCAACTCTCACTCTCTCTCTCTCTCTCTATCGTCCTCTCGGTGGGAAAAGAAGTAAACAATTAACATTACCAGTGGAAACCAGAAGCTTTTATTTTGCGGCAAAAGGATAGAGGAAGAAAAAGAAACAAGACTCGTTATTATTTATCTTCCAAGAAGAGAGAGAGAGAGAGATTAAGATTAAGACCAGGAAAGGAATAGTTAATCTTTCGCCTTTTAGACATAAGCTGAAATCCCAATAAGTTAAAAAGCCTTGAAAGTTGTTTCTCTAAATTAGTTAATTCATTTCAATCGAGAGATTCAGAAAGAAACAGAGAGATAGAGAGACTATATTATAATTCATTTCTATAATTGGATTAACACTTGGATATCATTATTTTTGACTTAATCATCTTCTTTATCTTTATTTTCTTTCTCTCTTTAATTATCATTATTAACTTTAGACTTATAACTTTTCGTCGGGGCAACAAAATTGGACTGAGGTTACAAGTTTCACCAACAATTGGTTCCGGTGATTGTAGGATTTGTTTCCGATTGAAACACGATTTTGTCAACAGTGTTATCCAAACTAAATCAACTGGAGGATCAGAGCCTCAAGTCTCATGGATTTATCATAAAATCTATATTAACCTAGGACCCGTTATCGAATCAAGAGAAAGTGTCGCTTAATCTTTACATTAAATTGTTAACGAGAGAAAATTATTCCAATTAATTTATTAATCAAATTTAATATACAGTCAATCAATTTTGTAATTTTATGTTACAAACAATTTGGTAAATCTTTATTTTCAATATCATCAATAAGTGATTGAAATTAAGGCATAAAAAGTGATGCTTTTTTTAATTAATTATCAATTGCATTACAACAAAACTAATTTACAAAATGAAAATGATTACTTTTTTTTTTGATTTAATTATAATTGTTCATTTGTTTTCGTGATGATTTAATCATATGTGTATTTTTTTTTCTCTTTAGAATAACAAAAAGTTGAAAAAGTTTCTATTTCGAAGATTTTTCTCCGACCTGAGAAATTCGTACCGGATGAACACGACACGAACAACCAGCCGGGAATTTGAACAAAGCGACAACCGGACTTTTACCTGGATCGTGAGGATCAACGGCAATCAGCCGATGTAAACTGTATCGTTGTTGGCAAGTGGACTCATAATAAGGAGCAACAAAGGAACAAGGTTCATTAGGCCGTCTATAAGGAAGAGAAAATTAATTGTTGTCGTTAATTGTTTAGGGAAAATTGTTATTGATTGGACATTTCTAGTTGTGGGTTACTTACTTGCAACTTTCTGTTCGTACTTGTTGAGGGAAAAGGTCAGTGTTAACGATAATCATCCATTCCTTTGTGATCTCATCCTTGGCCCAACCGGGTTTCATTGTATTGGCCTCAACTTCACAAGCAAATTGACCTTTAGCGGCAAGAGAATCGCCGACATGACTTTTAAATAGATCAGGATCACCAACTGTTTGTAATTCTTCGTACATAAGTTTTATTCTGGAATAACTTCGGTTAACTACTTCATTAATTCCATCCCTAATTAGTGATTTAGTTGAAAGAAAAGAAGGAAAAAAAATAACGATTAACATTAATGGTCAGTTGATTGGTGTCCGGTTGTTTTGGTTTTACTTGTAACCGTTTTGTTAACACTTGGATATCTTAATTTACTTACATGGGATAATCTTTTGTTAAAATACAATAATTGGTTCCTAATAATGTACATTCGGGCATCGAACCATCTGGAAGTGGTCGATCAGGTCTATCGATACTAATCGCTGGTCCAAGAGGTGGATTGTAAACTATTGCTGCATTTGTGTTTGGTGTTTTACCAGTTGGTCGTTTGCCACTGGGAACTCGTGGACCTGTTGGTCGTCGTGTACTTGGAAGAGCGGGAAGTTGTGGCCTTGGTCGAGGTTCAGGCTCATCTCGTGGTTGTTGGGGACGACTTGGCACGGGAAGTTGAGGTCGAGTGGGTTGAGGCAACTGTGGTTGTAATGGTTGTTGGGGTTGAGGTTGGGGTCGAGGTTGTGGTTGTGGCTGTGGTTGTGGCTGAGGTCGAGGTGTTTCTGTTCACGTTTTGAAAGAAAAGGTTCAAATTATTAGTACTTTTATTGTCTATCATGTTTTTATCATTTAATTCTTGTTAATTGTTACCTGGCCTTGTAATTATTTGAGTATCTGGCTCACTTGAACCTGATGATGGACGTCGAGTAGGTTGAAAATCTGGTGCAGTGAATTCTTGTTCATTTGAACCATCATCATAATCAACCGATGATTGATCAATCGGGGCAATTGTTTCAGGTCGTTCTGTTGTTACTCTGATTGGTACTTGGGGTACTAATGATGGTCGCAATGTTGTTGGTGTAAAAGTTTGCGTTGATGGCCGTGGGGGATTAGTGAAACCTGGTTGCTGTGGCCGAGGTCGAGTTGTGACAACTTCTTGTACTGGTCGTTGACTTGGTTCAACGGGTGCTTGAGTATCTTCATAATCTTCATCAAAAGTTTGAGATGTACTTATAACTGGACGAATAGTTGTTGTTGGTGCCAATGTTGTTGTAAACACTGGTCGGGGTCGGAAAGTTGCTGGTTGGAAAGGTCTTACTGTTTGACCTGGAGTTGGACGAACTGGTGTTTTGATTGGTGGCCTTTGAGTTGTTACAATTTCAATTGGTCGCTGTGGTCGTAAAGTAACCGGACCTTGAGTGGGCTGCTGAGGACGGAATGGACTTGGTGTTTGGGGTTGTTGAGGTTGGAATGGTGCCCTTGTTTCCTCTTCCGGTTCGTTCTCATCTTCTTGTTGAGTAACAGTGACTGATGGCTGAGTAGTTGTCGGGATTGGACGAGGTCGGAACGGAACTTGTTCTGAAAATTGAAGAGGAAGAAAAAAAAACAAATTGTAAACTTAATTGATCTAAATTGATCTTATTAATTATTATACCTCTGATTTGACTGTCTGGTTGAGGACGAGGATTTCTAGTGGGTGGCAATTTAACTCCGTCAGGTTGTCGTTGTGCTGGTGTTGTGGTTGTTGTTGGATTCGATACTGGTCTAGGTCGGGGAATTCGTTGGCCAAAAGTTGACTGAGGTTGTTCAGGTTGTTCAGGTTGTTCGGGCTGCTCCTCATCTTGCTCAGGTTCAATTGGACTTTGGGTTGTCGTGGTTGTTGTTGTTGTTGTGATTACTGTTGATGGTCTGAAAGTGGGCTGGAAGAAAGGTCGAGCTGGAGATGGTGTTGGCCTCAAAGGAACAGAAGGACGACTTGGAATGGCCACTGGACGGGATGTTGTTATCGATTGTTCTTGATCAACTTGTTGATCGTCTTCAGTATCTTCAGCTTTTGGTGCTCGTGTCGGTGCAGGTCTTGGTGCGGGTCTAATTTTAAAACGTGATAATAAGATAATAATGTTAATTGTAATATTTTTCATCTCTATTATCAATTTAAAGATTAAGTAGATTGTTGAAAAGTATTATTGACAATCAATTGATTGTTAACATTTTTAATCCTTGAATCGTGTAACCGAAAAAAAAAATGATGAATTGATCAAAGCTCAATCGGAAGAGATTAACTTTTCAATCATCGTTCTAATTGATCTTTAAATGGTCTTGATAATCTAACTAATTAACAGTTATTGATATATGATAACAATTAAAATGATCTTTTAAGATCTTTGATCACCTGTCAGCATTTTGATTGAAAGATTGATCTGATTTTAAAGTATTTGATTAATCGTTTGAGTTAACTCAATAATTTTAAGTACCTTTGTGGGAAAGTTGGTCTTGGTGCTAATGTTGGTTGTGGCCTTCGTGGTGGTAAAGTTGGCCTGGTTGGTGCTGGAGAGGAAGTGATTGGTTCTTCTTGGTCTGTGACCTCTTCTGGCTCCTCGGTGTCGAAAATATCATCAACTGGTTTCGCTGGAGTGGGAAAAGGTCTAAGAGTGGACACATCTCGGAATGTAGGTGATTGTGTGGTTTGGATGGGTCGTGGTTGGAAAACGGGACCTAAAGGTTGTTGTGGTCTTCTACCGCCTTTAGTTGCTGGTCGTTCGGTTGGCTGTCTAAATGGAGCTGGCCGTTCCTCGAATACTTGAGGTCTTGGTTGAAGTGGTGCTCGAGTTGTTGATTCTTGGACAATTTGAGGTCGAGGAGCAAAAGTTTGAGTGACTGGACGTGGGGCAAATGTTTGGGTAACTGGTCGTGGGGCAAATGTAACAGCGGGTCGAGGAGCGAAAGTAACTGCTGGTCTTGGGGCGAAAGTAACTGCAGGGCGAGGACCAAGAGTAACATCGGGTCGAGGTCGGAAAGTTTGGGTTGGACCAACGGTTGTTGTTATTGCAGGTCGTACAGTTGGACGGAAAGTTGGTTGTTGAACATTGTTTCGATCGCTGAGATTGGGAGATGAAAAGTGTTTAGTAAATTAATTTAGTTTGTTAGCCCAATTTGGGTACTTACTTTTCAACGAATACTGGTCTTCCTTTTACTGGAGGAGGAGCGGTTGGTCTTGGCTGTTGGGGAACTGGTCTGAATGAGGGGACAGGTCGAGGTTGAGCGGGTTGAGGGGCTTGAGGAATTGGTCTTGGTGCTGGGAAAGGACGAAGAGTTGGACTAGCTGTTGGCTCTACGACTTCCAATTCTGGCTCTTCTGAATCAATTTCTGGTTCAATGTCTGCAGTCGATGGATTGGGCTGAGCGGGAACAGGTAACCGAGGTGACGGGGGCCGAGCTTCAAAACCTGGTACTGGAAGAGGTCTCAATGGAGTTGGTTGTCTTGGAGGAGGAGAGGGAAGAGGTGCTGAGGGTGAGACGGGTTGAGGTCTAAATGGGCTTGGTGTTTGAGCAAAGGTTGGAACTGGGGAGAAAGTGGGTCTTGGACTGGTTCCTGGTTGAACAAATCGAGATGGTGTGGGTCGAGGTCGTGGGCCTCCTTTAACACTGGAAGCGTCGATTTGAGAGACTGGACGAAGCTGTTGACCAGGTGTTGGAGCTGGACGGAAATCTTGGCCTTGTGTAGGTCGGGGAGGAGTTGGTCTTGGACGATCTGATGGCCTTACGAATGAGGAAGATGGTGGAGGAAGTGGGGAAGGTTGAGATGGACGCAATTCATTTTGATTAATTGGTCTTAAAGTTGGCACTTGTGGTTGTGGCTGTTGTGGGAATTGAGGTTGTGGTTTTGGTTGGAATTGAGGCCGAGGTTGGGGTTGAGGTCGTGGTTGGGGCTGTGGTTGAGGACGGAAATTAACAATTGGTCTACTTGGTGGTGGAAAAGGTCTTGGTCTAGGAGGGGAAGGAGATTGTGGTCTTGGCGCGGGTGTTTCTGGCTCTTGGAAAGCGGGAAGAGGACTGAAAGTTGTGACCTGGTCATCTGGTCTTGGAAAAACTACTGGACCAGGTTGTTGTTGTTGTTGTGGCCTCTGTGGAGTTGGACGACGAGGTGGTGAGGGTGGAGGTGATGGAAGAGGTTGGAGAGGTTGTGATGGCTCACGGAAACGAGAATCATCAACTTGACCTGAGCCTTGTTGGTCAGTTACTTGAGAAAATGGTGGCCTGGGTCCAGGTAATGATGGTCGACGAGTTGAAGGGCTGTAAACACAATCAAATTAAATTGCAAGTTAATCAACAAAACCTAAATGAATAATAAATTTATAAAGAAATTTTTTTTTCTTTCATCTATTAATTGAATTACAACTACAAACTTTAATAAAATTAATTCAATTCAATTCTAAATCATCACCATTAAATTTTGGATTGACCAAATCACGAATATTTAATTTAATTTTCATTCAATAATCATAATGATCTCGGTCAATAGTTAATAGTAACTAAATTTACCTTCCGCCTTCAAGTTGATACAACTAATAAATTGAGTTAACAATTTAAACACGAAGGCGGTAAAAGTTATTTATAATTAAAGTTAACTCAGTAATCATAATTTAATATCGTCATTTTCTTAACAATCAACAATAATTATCTCTCTCTCTCTTCTTGATGATAATTAATTAGCAATTAAAAGACTTACCCTTGTGATTGTCTGAACTCTTCATCAGTTTCAGGTCTTTGAACATCATAATCTAAACTATTGGAAGCGGGTAAAAGTGGCCTGACCGTTGGATCGATCGCATCTCGAATGTATTTGCCCCACCACTCATTCCACCACTCGGGTGCTTGAACATTTACTCTGGCACGGCGCTGTAATTAACAATTAGATTTAATTAGATTCGAGAGAGTAATTAACTTAGATAGTTATGAGAGTTTGGAAAAACTTACCTTGACTATTACATGTTTTGAATCACAGTTGATGAAGTTTAACACCAAAAGGAAGGTAATTAATCTAGATATGAGTTTCTATTGGTAACAATTAAGAAAATAAATGTGATTAATTAGCTAATTTAATCATTTTCGAGAAGAAAACAAAGTTTCAAAACAATAATCCAAACAATTAAAATGATTCCATTAAATTATCATCGTTTAACCTTAAACCGTTAATCGGAATTAGGATTAGTTTAGCTACTGGATTAACTGATTGTGATTAGATTAATTTGATATTGTATCAATATGAATACAATTAAATCATCTTGACAAGGGTCAAATTTAATTTTAATGATAAATAATGATCATGATTAGATTGTAATTGTTACACTGATTATAATCATTTGGTAAAATAGTATTACCTTGATAATAATAACAAAAAAAAAGTTTAATCATCATAATCAAGTTTCATCATCTTGTCAAAATTAAGATAATTAACTTTAATCATAATTTTAATGGTAACAATTAACAATTTGAGAAACCTTGTTTGAAAATTGATTGTCACAAAATGCAAAATGAAAACAAGGTTTCAGCTAATTAACAACTAAAATCTAATCAAAGTTAATTACAGATTCGAGCAGTTTATTCAAGTGACTTTGAAATTCAACAATTAACTTAATTGTTGAATCTTCTTGAATCAATGATCAATTCATATTAATAAGAAACTTTGAAGTTCTAATGGTTTTCTATCGATTGATCAAACTAAATCAACTTTTTCTCTTGAGTAATTAACTAGAAAAGACTAAATTTGTTTACTAATCAACGAAATGGAAACGATTACAATTATCAATCAACTGAATTAGTGATTTAATTTGATTATCAAATGAATGAAAATTGTGAACATCAATTGATAAGCTTAAAAATAAATAGAAAATTGAATGAAAAGAAATTGAGAAAAAAGTTTCTCTATTAACCTTTGACTCTTTAATTGCAATCTAATTAACTGGTTAACAAAAGTAACTGTTAATTGTTACCAATCTATCATTTGATTGCCAATGATTAAGAATAAGAAGATGATGAATTAAATAAAATGTTAATTACAATCATTTTGATTGGAAATGATTGATAACTTTTCATTTCTACGAATAGAAATTTAATTCCTCTAAATTTAATTCTCATTCTAAATTATGATTAAGTCGTTGTTTTTTTCTTGACAATCGCAGTTTATTTTGATTAATAACGATGATTAAAGATGAGACAAAGAATTAATTTTGATTGTTGATCGATAATTAAAGTTTCTTTGAATCAATTAAAGTTAACAAAGTGCAGCAAAAACAACAACAACAACAACAACAACGATTTCTTGACCACTAACTGACCAATTGATACGTTAAATTGTGATTAAAATTATCAACAATTAACATCATCATTAAGATGATTAGTAAATTGTTATGTACGAGTTTCCATTGTATTAATAATAATCATGATTATCTATTAAATTAACTAAATTGTTATTGTAATTTTTTTCTTCATCCAATTTAATTGAAAAAAAAATATAAGAATGAAAATTTCAACAATTAGATTAACAGAAATTGTTATTTCTGAACAATAATTAACAATTGATGGTGTTTATTGTTGATTATCTGAATCTTATCATCACTTAATTAGGAAGATGATTAAGATGATCATGACAATCATATAAACAATATGTTAATTGTTGTTGTGTTCATTTTAATCATTTGGTTTTTTTTTGTTTGGTGACAATAATCATTGTTTCCTTGATTGTTGTTTGATGATATTATTAAAATTAACAATCAACACTTGATTCGTTCCGATGAACTTTTAATTGTGATAATAGACAATATAAATTGTTAACTCTTTCTTCCGGATGGATCATATTTTCATCTTGATTTTAATTACGATGAAAATTAAGTTAATCACAGAAAATTAGACTTGTTAATATTGATGATTATTAATGGTTAATTTTTAATTGTTTGGGGAACAACAATTTAATTCAATTCAATTGAAATCGTTTTCAGTTTGATTTGGTTGATCTAGTTAGTTAGTATGATGATCAGTGATGAACAATTAGAAACTGGATTAGTTAATTATTATTGATAGCCGATTAAATTGTTTCCTATTTTTTCCATACATTATTGTAAATCAATCAAAATTAATTTCTAACGATTTCACCTCAATTTAAATGTTGCAGTTAATCAAATCAACGGAACAATTAACAAGAAGAAAATTAAAATTTTCGCTTCGAAACTCAAAGTCAATGTTAATCATTAAAGGAAGAGAATTGATCATCATCATCAAGTTTAATTAACTAATATTTCCACTGATTAACATTAATATTTAAATCTATAACTAAATTAACATAAATTGTTAACTTTTCCACTTTCATAATCAGACAAACATGAGAATTACAATTAAGTGAATAATTAAATAATCTCAATACTAATCAGAATGTTAGTTGAAAAAAAAAGTAATCAGGAATTAACAAATTGTCAGGAAACTGTGATACTCATTTAGTTGTTAATTATTATTATATAAATTAATCATTCTCATCATCTAACTTAATTGAAAAATGTCAACGTAATTAACTGTAAATTGTTCAATTAAAATTAACAACAAAAAAAAAGATGACAACTGAATATAAATATAACTTTTTTTTTATCTCGTTTGTTTGTCCATTTGATTAAGTTAATTGTTGTCGTTATTATCGTCAACTAAATATGATTAAAAGTGTATATTAATACATAATGAAAGATCAACTTCCGAGCATAAAAAGATGATTAATTTAAATCCAGTTAGATTAATAATCAGCAAATTAACTCTCATCAACAATCAACAATCAACAATCAACTTTTTCTTGTAACACGAAATGATAATTATCCCTTTCGATATCAATTCATATCTAATTAGTTAATTGCTCTTCCTTTTTTTGTTTTCTTGTTGTTGATTAATTTGATTTCTTCTCAATTACAACAATTTAATCAACAAGTTACAACCATATTCATCAATCTCATCAAGTTAATCATCAAAATTATATTAATTTACCTTCAAAGTGAAAACAGTTTTTTTTCCTGTTCGCAAACAAATTAACCTTTCAGCTAACATGATCAATTGATTACAATTAACTTTAACAGAGTGATACTAATCAATTTACTCAACTGAATTTGAGTAATTTTGATCAACTACTTTAATTGAAACAAAATTAATTCTAATTGAATATAAATCGTTGGGGGAAAAAAAGCTCCATCTATCGGTGGAAAAGGGAAAATATCGAACATGATGAAAACTTTTGTAATCTTTTAATTGTTTGTCGATTGAAATTTTGGAAATTAAATTGTGATTAATGTTGTTTACTTACCAAGAAATTCATTATCCATAAGATGTAAACAGTTGAATTTGAAAATGAAAAATTGTTAATCCGTTGAAAAGTTTTTCTCCAAATAAATAGCAACAATTAGTTAATCATCCAAACGATCAGGAATTGATTTGAACGTTGATGAAATGAAAGTTTTTGTTTCTAACGTTTTTTATTAAATGATTGGCACACAATTAAGTCTCGGAATTAAAAGTTTGAAACACTGAATCCAATGGGATGGAAATCACTTGATGTTGGAAGGTTGAAAATGAAGAAAGTTTTGTCTCAAGATGAAGAAAAGTATGATGATGATGAAGATGAAGAAGAAGAAAGTGAAGATGATACTGAATGTCTTCCAAATTTGAAATAGAAAATTTTTCACGATATTATGACGATTGAGAGGAGGACAAGAATAAAAAAGGATCGAAAGCACTTTGAACACTTATCGAACCTCAGATACTAAAAAGATTCTGAATAATATTCAGAACTTTGTTTCTTTCGTCTATTAACAAACAAAGTTAACACTCGATGGTGATGAGGATGCAAAACCAAGAGGACTAAATGAGGAAGCGAAGTCTTCAAGAAAATAACATTAAAGTGAAAAGAAGATGAAAATTGTTCGCAGTTTTTAAAAGACTTTTTGAGGTCGAATGAAAGCGACAGGGAAAATGATGAAGATAAAAGAGAAAGTGGTTAAGAAGAAGAAGAAGAAGATAAAAGAGAGAACGAAGAGAGAGAGAGAGAGAGAGAGAGAGAGATGAGACTGGAAGGATGAGAATAGGATGATGAACGTGATGAGATAAAAGAAAGAGATGATGAGGATGATGAAGAAGAAGGTGGTCTGTGAGGAGAAGAAGGTTGAAGTTATTTTCTAATAACGATATTGGTCAGAAAAATGAGCGAAGCGAAAAGAAAAAGTTCTAACGAATTCGTTGCTGATTTGTTACGATTTCAAATTCACGAGTTTGAATTCGTTTGCCCGTATTGTTTATTATTTATCGTTATTATTATTTTTGATTGTAACCTTAGCACTTTCTCAATTCCTCAACTGTTACCTGTTAATAATCAACAATTAACGATCAAGATGATTAGTAAATTGTTCTTCAAAGATTTTGATCAATTGAACTTTTTATCAAAACTTTTTTGATTCTGTTTCTTTTTTTAGATGAAACTGTAAATTGATTGTGTTGTTTGTAAATTAATCAAATCGATGAATGTAAATTGTTTGTTGTCTACTGTTAATCATCATCATCATCATTCAGATTTTAATCAGTATCAATTTAAGGTTTTAATTTTCATTCTTAATTGTTAATGATTACCTGGGATTATGTATTTTTGAAGTTTAATTGTCTTCTATTGTCAACTGATTGTTGTTACTTGTTTTCAGATTGTTATTATTATTTCTGATTGTTGATTAAACAATTTGATTATTCTGGTTAATCAATTACTATCTCTCTATTTCTTGAACACTTGAGATAATTTAGTTTATTAAATGATAGTTTGCAAATTGTTATTTTCATCAACAATCAGCTTCTTTATTTTAAATCAAACATTTTATTCAACCAATTTAATTTGATTCTCTGTTTATATTATATCTGATAAACATGCAATCAACAATTTAAATTGTGTGTTAATCTTGATTAATATATTAACTGTATTAGATTTGCATGATTTTCCGTTTCCATTAGTAATTGATTTAACTAAACAATTTAATACAATCATTAATTTGATTATGTTGATCATTTTGTAATCATCTAAATATTAACAAAATTGTTACTATTTAACCAATAATTTGATTTAATTTAAATTTAAACAGATAAAATCAAAATAGTCCTTAAATTTTTACTCTCAAATTGATGAAGCAATTTAAATCAAATTAGTTGGAATCAGTCAATGGTCAATTGATTAATCACTAATCATCCTAATATAATTATATTAACATCAGCAAATTAACAATATAACAGAATCGGAATCAACAGTAAGAAAAGTTATAATTATAATTGTCACAATTAACTAATTATAACCTCATCTTTTAATAACATCAGGGATTTTCCAAGTTAATCAACAATTAGTTAGTTAATTAACTAACTTTTTGCTTCTGTTGATAACAGTTTAGATATGAAAAAAAAACTTAAATCACTTTCTAATTGTTACTTAATTGTCAAGGACAATTGATTTAGTAACAAGGTGACAATTAAAGAGGCAAGTTCACCAATCCAATGAATCAAAATTACAATCAAAGATTCATTAACGATTATCTTAATCCAAGACAAAATTAACATTCAATGATTGGATGATACATACTGGTAACAATTAATTAACAATTAGCAAAGATCCTAATCCAATTGAACCTTGAAGGTTGTTAGTTAACTGATTACCATTTGATTGTGATCTTAATTGTAAAAGGACAAAGATATTAAATAAATATATGTATCTGTATATTGTCATGTAATCGTAAAAAGAGTTAATTTTTTTCTTAATTGTAATTAAATCTAATAGGATAATGGTACTTTCTCTTGATTAAGTTAATTAATATGCACTTTTTTCCCTCTCTTATCATCATCATTTACTTTCACCTTCATCTTTTTATCATCTTAATTAATATTCATTGTAATTAATTGTTGATTATCATCTTCCCTTGTAACTTTTTCCCTTCTCTCTCTCTGATCAACAATTAATTCAATTTAAATCATAATAATCATGATCTTCATGATAACTACTTCCGGTCAATTTCAAACTAAATCATTGTCACTTTTAATTATTTCAACTTTTAATTGTATCTCTGATTACAATTAACCACCCAGGTTGATAATTTGTAGTTGTAATCATAATAATCAGTCTTGTTTGATTTGGTGTATTTTTTTTTGCAAAAATTATAACAATTAGTTTGTAACAATCAAAAAAGTAAATTGATTAAATTTAATTGTAATCATGTTTTTGGTGGTAAACTTTTACCTTAATTATGAGTTGATTGTGAGGTTATCATATTGGTTGTAATTGATTAACATTGAATATGATTATCAATTGACCACTAGCATAATTAACAGTATTAATTGTTTGACTTTTTGATTTAGTTACCAAGGTGAAAACTAATTGTGTTGATTTAATTGCTTCAAGCTTAATGTGTTTGTATCTTATGGATTCACCTTTGATTATTATACAGTGACTATTATTAATTTAGCTAATTCAGTTCCGTAATAATATAAATGATAATCTTTAAATTCTCAACAATTAACTTACAATTAACAACAATAATAATATTTAGTTTAATTTATTACAATTTAAATATTCAGGTAATTAAATTGAAGATTCATTAGTAAGATTAATCATAATCTTAATTGTGTTCATTATGTATCCTTAATAATTAGTAATTAACACAATTGTTTATTTGATTTAGGTGGATAATTAATCGGATTTCATCAATCAATTGGAAACAATTAACTCATTAACAATTAGATAATTGTAACAAATTGCCAATTCCCACAAATGGAAACTTGTTAATTATGTAATTAGCTCAACAGACACAATGATTGTTGATTAAAGTTTAATTTTAGTGATTAGAAAAGTGATTAAGATAAACACTAATTAAGATGAATGATTAAGATAATGATGATTAAAGTTGATCAAATTGTAATCTTAATCATCTTCTTGATCAAATTTAATCAGATTTGTCAATTCATCATTTAATCCGGAAAAACTTTAATTGTTTAACTACAATCGTTACTATTTAATCATTATTAATAAACGAATTAACAATTTAATCATGATTAATAAGGGAGGGAACATTTTTAATTATAATTAACACTTCAATCAAAAAAAGTATTTAATCAATAAGATGATAATCAATTGACAGTTAATCAAATTCAATCGTCATCATTAACAATTTAACTTGTTTACAAATCAAGTGAATTAATTTTGTTCATCTTATTATAATTAACCTTTTTGATTGTAATTATTAATCACGACAATTATCAGTAATTGCTAAATGATTGTTACTGTTGTCTGATGATAATTAATTGTTTCAAATGATTAAATTGAATTAAATTGTCTCATCAATGTAAAACTTTTTTTATTATAATTCAAATTGTTGGTTAATTGTGTTTACACTTTGCAAGAAAAAAACAATAATAAGACAACAACAATTAACGTGAGAATCAACTGATCATCTGTTGATGATTAAAGTAATGATTAACTAATCAAGTAATCATGTTAATCAACTTCCGGATGACTTGTGTCTTAATCAACATTGACAACAACAATTGAATATGTTGATTAATATATTAAATTTAATTTGATTATCTTGTGGTTAATCATTGAATTAACGTGACTTCAACTCATCATAATCATCATCATCTTGATTATCTTGATTATATTGATTGTAGATTAATTGTTAACTCAATTAATGGGAAAAGATTATCAATTGTCTGCTTGATTGTCATAATCAAATCTGAATATAGTTTATATTCACTAGAGAAATTAATAAACTGATACAAATTAAAACATCAAAGAAGAAGATGATTAGTTAATTGTTAATCCAAATTGTCATCATGACATTCATGAAACTGATGACAATAATAATGATCATAATTAACTTGATTGTTATCATGATTATTTGATTAACGCAATCAGATAATAACAATTTGATTATTGTAAATTGTGTTAAATTGTGTCTACTGTTGACAATTATTATTCCAGAATCATTAACAACAATTAGTTAATCATAATCTGATTATTATCCTTTACTCATAATCAACTGATTATTGTTATTAATTAACTCAGATGAACAATCAATTGTCCGTTTGTAAAAATTGACTTAATTGTTAATAAAACTTTTGACAATCAAAACTTTGGTCAATCAACAAAACCTGAATATTAACTCAAGTTAACAATTTAATTAACAAAACAATCTAGACTACCAGTTGATTGTAAAATCAATTAAATTGTTGGTTGAATTTTGATTTTTTAATTAATTTCAAGTTCATTACAGTTTAATCATAATGTTTAACTTGATTGATATAATCATTGAAAATTAAGGAAGTAGATTGATTTACCTTTCAATTAAATTAATCACTGATATATACTGATTGCTGTTTGGTGGTATCAACAACAACAACAACAATTAAATTGTTGATATTGACAATCAAACTCAAAGACAATTGGAAACAAAATGTTTGTGTGTGTGTGATTTAAATTGTTGTTGTTTAGGTCAATTAAGTTACATTGATTGATAAACAATGTATTTAATATATATCGAAACTGGATCAACAATTATTATTGATTATTATCAATTCTTGGATGATTAAGGAAGCTGATGATTAAAAGGGAGAGATGATGAAGTTCAAAACAATTGTAATGATTAAGTTAATCATGATTGTGAATTGAATTTACAGAAAATTTTTGCAACAATTATTATATATAAAGTTTAATGTTATTAATTTTAAATATATTTTAAACAATCAACTGATGATGATGATGATGATGATGAGTAAAAACTGATTTAACTTCCGTAGTTAAACAATTAATTGTATTGAATTAACCTAAAGCCTTGAGTGATTAATGATTATCATCAAGATTCAAGTTTGTCATATCTCATTGGATTAGTTTAATTTAGTTGATTAGGTTTATGGTAAT